AAATAGCCCTAGTTTTTACATGTATTGGCACGTGCTATGTTCTAGTCCAGTCTGTCCTGCATCACATCTGGCTCTCGTGCACACCTAGGGGTGCTACACCTTAGCTCAGCCCAACCCACCCTCAGACCTGGCCAATACATATGCCAACAGGTGCTGCCACCTTGACAAGCCCTGGCCCACCCTCAGCCATGACTCTTCCACTCACCAATAGGAACGTCAGTCTAGAAGAGAGTACCCACAGTCTCCCTACCAGGTCTGCTGCCAGGCCTGGGTCTTGTATGTGCCAGTCTGTGATGGCCTGCCCCTACTCTTGGAATTTGTTGCTGCAGCCTGACTCATTCTAACCCACCTCTAGTCCCAGCTCTCCCAGACAGCTGTGGCCGCCTAGCCTAGCTTGGCCAACTCCTAGCCCCATGTGAAGTGGCAGGTGTTGCAATCCATTCTGGCTCTCATGCATGCCAATAGATGCTGTGACCTCATCCAGACAAGTCTGTCCACATACTCAGCTCATACAAATGCTGATGAGGGCTGGACCTTGTCTGGCCTAGCCTGTCCGCAACCCTGGCTTCTGTACTATCCAGCAGGAGCTGTGGCCTTTTAAGGGAGTTTCCCAAACTCTACTATTAGACCCATTTCTAGCCCCAGATCTCACATATGCTAGCAGGTGCCACAACCCTACTTTGTATGGTATACCCTCAGTTCCAGCCTTTGCATGTGCCGGTGGGTGCTACAACCTGGATGAGACCAGCCTCTGCTCAGCCCCAGCTCCTTTGTCAAGTCAGTTTGTGTCAGGTGAGTTCCAGTGATGTGAGTTCTATGGTTCAGCTTGGTTTAGTCCATCACCACCCCCACCTCTGGTGCAAACTGGCAGGTGCTGCAGTTCACAGAGGTGAGTCCACAAGTCCCCTATAAAATCTGCTATCAGATCTGGTTCTTTTGCATTCTGGTGTGTGTTGTGGCAGAGTCTGACATGATCCAACCCCTGCCCTGACACCTGTGGGCAGGTACTGTGGTCTAGCCCAATCTGTATGCCTCCAGCCCCAGCTTTTGTATGTGCTAGTGGGAGTTGAGCAATGTTACTTAGCACAGCCTAGGACTCCCACATGGACAGTGCCTTGGCCTGATCCAGATAAGCCTCTGGTTTTCCCCCTCCAAACCACTCCATGTCAGCTGTCAAACATGCCCTCAGCCACTCCCACTCCAACATGTCCTTCCCTAGCAATCTGCAGCATCCCCCACCCATCTGGGAGCCAGAGTGGCAAATCCTGTCCTGGCATTCCCTGTCTTCCCACATATATTAAAAAAAAAAAAGAGGGCTTGGCATGGTAGCCTAGTAGCTAAAGTCCTTGCCTTGCATGTGCCAGGAACCTATTTGGGCACTAGATTGTGTCCTGGATGTTCCACTTCCTATCCAGCTCCCTGCTTGTGGCAGCCCAAAGCCTTGTGATCCTGCCCCTTTGTGGGAGACCCAGAAAAGCTCCTGGTTCCTGGCTTAAGATCTGCTTAGCTCCAGCTATTGTGGCTACTTGGGGAGTGAACCAGTGGTTGGAAGACCTTTCTTTCTGTATCTCCTTCTCTCTGTAAATCCACCTTTCCAATAAAAATAAATCTTAAGGAAAAAGGAGGAGGAAGAGAAACTATGTAACCATGCTGGAATACTTGCATAATTAACAGAAATTTGGCATTAATTAGGCCCAGAATGCAGTCCAGCAACCATCAGATATTGGCTGCTTTTCTCCCACTAGCGTTAGCGCTTACATAGGTAGGAAGCATTCTAGGTAGCTGCCCACAGCTCAGGGTGTCTCAGCATTTTTAAAGGATAAGGACATTGAATTTTACATGAAATACACTGACACTTAAAGTTATCCATTGCCTAAATATTTTTGAAATAATTCAATGGCCATATAAAATATATTGTTTGTGGACTCCATTTAGTTTAAAGGCTTGAGTACCAGAATGTACAATATTTATGACACAGGAAGATGTCTATGAAATATTATAAAATTTTTAAAAATTCTGTTACAAACTATTTACAAATAATCTCAAGAAAAATGTATGGAAAACACTATAAGATACCACCTAGGCAAGATTTCTTGTCTACAACAGCAGAAGCATAGGCACAAAAAAGCAAAAAAATTTATCACCCTGATGGTTACATCAAGGTAAGTTGCTTCTGCATAGTTAAGGAAACACTCCACACAATAAAGAGGCAACCAACAGAAGGATAGAAAATATTTACAAACTATGCATCTGATCATCGGCTTAATCTCTAAAACATAAAAGGAGCTCAGGAAGAATAGATCTGTAGCAATCAGGATAATGCAAATACAAAACACAATGTAGTTTCACCTGAGCCCAATCAGAAAGGTTGGCACCCAAATTTCAAAAACAGCAAGTGCTCGTGAGGATGTGGGAGAAAAGGTACCTTGATACAATGCTGGGGATAGAGGGGGAACTAGTACAACTATTACTGACAACAGTATGGAATTCTTCCAAATCTGAAAATTGATCTACCATATTGTCCAGACATTCCTCTCCTAGAAATATCCCCAAACGAAACGAAAACTGCTTATGCGTCATCTCCCCCTATTTTTATAGCAGCTCAACTCACAATAGCTGATATGGAATCAATCTAGATCATCCATCAACTGATGACTAGATAAATATGGTGTACATTAATGGTGGAATATTACTGAAGCAAAATAAAGAAGAAACTCTGTCTTTAGTTTTAAAAAAAAAGGTGCAACTAGATACCATTCTGCTTAGGAAAAGTCAAGCCCCCCAAAAAACAAATAAATGTTTTCTTTGACTTGTTGTAGCAAGTGTATAGAGTACAAAAACTGTAATACATTTGAGTGAAATTGATATCTTGAGATTGGAGTATTGTTTATAGTCTTACTCTATACCCCTCAGAATAGTGGTATTCCTACATTCTACTTGTTGAATTCTTCATTTAGTGGAGAAGTAAGTACATGAATATAAGTAAATTGAAAATATGCTATCACAAAAATTAAAAGACAAAATATAAGGAGGAGATAGGGAAGGAAAGAGAAAGAATGGGAAGTGCCATTATGTACTTAAAGTTACATATCTGTGATTCAGGAAATCTATTCTTTTTATACATACATTTAAAAAAATAAAAGATCTCATTTGATTAAAAATTAAATCATGTTTGCATATAAGTTAAAAACTAAATAGTATCTGAAGAAACATAATCCAATATGCTAAAAATAAGTAGATTTAATTTTCTTTTTATGTATTTATTTTGTATTTTATATTGAAACAGTATATTCTCAAAAAGATGACATTCCTTATTATTTATGATTATTAAAGAAAATGCTAACAACCTGGCTTAAAATTTTGAGGATAAATTTAAGATCAAAATTATTAAATATTCTTGCACATAAATTCAGACAGACCTAAGCTCAAAATAAATTCTTCTGTTTTACTATTTACACATTCTTGGGGTTTGCCATTTGCAAAATGTTGAGATAATATCTATTATCACTGCCTCAAATCCCCTGGATGAGGTAAACGTGAGTACATATATAGTAGAATTAATTCCTAAAGCATTACTTTTTAGTGTCATCAGACTAAATAGATAGAGGGTACAGTGATGCAGCATGCTAAGCCTCCACCTGCAGCATTTGTTTCCCATACAAGCATTTGTTTCTGTCCCAGATGTTCCACTTATAGACCAACTCCATGCTAATGCCTGGGAAAGCAGTAGAGCATTGTGCAATTCCTTGGCCCCTTAAACCCACATAGAAGACACAGAAGTTCCTGACTTCTGGCTTCAGATTCGCTCAGCTCCAGCCATTGCAGCCATTTGAGGAATAGAACCAGTGAACCAGATGGAAGATCTTTTTCTCTTTCTCTCCTTCCCTGCATATATCTTCATTTCAAATAAAAATAAATCTTTTTTAAAAAGACTAAGTATCAATATACAACATTATGGAATTAATTGACGTAGTATTGGGCAACAAGGTGGAGGAATCCACCATGGGGGGAGGGGTATGGGAGGGGTGGGGGGAATCCCCAGCGCCTATAAAACTGTACTACATAATACAATGTAAGCAACAATTAAAAAAAAAAAGACTAAGTAAATAGAAGGAAACTTTTACTATTGAAATTCATGTCTAGAAAAAAAAGGCAGACACGTAACAGAATTTAATAGTATAATGAAAAAAAAAATTTGTCACTCTTTATCACCTCCTTTATCATGTCATTGATGAAGGTACGAATGCATCCAAGTGGAATTCAAGAAGCGAATACATCCACAAGTAAGAAAAAGCAATTGTTTGACTTAAGGCTTGCTTTGCTTTTGCCAACCTCACTTCCTTTTTTCTTTCTTTCTTTCTTCTTCTTCTTAGTTTTTAATCATAAGGGTCTTAGATAGTTTCAGTAAATATTCCATCTACCAGGAGGTCAATTATGATGCAGGGCAAGAAAGTTTTTCAGGGTACTCTATGTTATCAGAAAATTGCCTTTAAAAGAATTCAGATACTTCTTTCCCATGTGTTGACTTACTCCCGGGGAATAGACCACCATCTCTGGACCTTGGAAATAGCATATCCTTTGTATTAGTCCGGTCTGCATGAATATAATACTTTTTAATGCATATGAGGTTGTAATGCTATAAAGCATTATAAGGGGAAAGAGGTATATTTAGTGCACCGTTCTGGAAGTTCAGTGGCTCGTCACTCATTCCTGCTTGGTTCTGTTGAGGAGTTCATGGCAACACAATTGATGGAGCACATGAGGGAAGAGATCGAAATGCCAAATAGTAAGCCAGAGGATTACTCGGGGGCCGGGTGCATTCCTACAGCTACTCATGCAAGGATCTAAGAACCTTTTACCAGACCCCAACTTTAGGTCCCCACCACCTCGAAAAAACCAGTACCAGGGATCTAACATAAAATCTTGTGGGACACACTTAAAGTATATTAAAAATGTAGCAATGTTGATGGTATCTCTGATATAGTAACTGATTTTCACTATTCCTTTTAATAAATTAGCAATAAAAGAACAATAAAAGCGTTTCTCATATCTTTACTCTTTCAGCAAAGTGCAGCATGAACATAATAGTGTTAAGAAGTCAGAAATAACACAGTAGCTATACAGGATGTTCATAATCAAAAAGTTTCAGCACTTATCTTCTCTACATCCTCCCAAATTAGTATGTTGTTAAATTAATTATGAAGCTTTTCAAAATAAAAGCAATGTTTTAAATAAATATATTCTTTCATAATCATTGAACATTTAGTTTTGTTGGAGGTAACAAACATCACACTCAAGTACTTTATGAAGAAATTAGGGTAAAAATTATCTAGATACAATTATATATGTACCCTATTTAGTAACCTACTTCATTTTGTGAGCATTTTTCTGTATGTGTTAAAACTATATCACAGACATTCTGTAGTCAGTTCATAAATCATCACAAAGATGTTATCTGACCTATAAAATATATATGATTTCAACATGATGTTATAGCATTGTTTGAACATATCTTACTTTAAATTTAGTACTCTAAATTATATTCAGTCTAATTCAACACCTCTTAGCTTTCCTTGTCTTTAAAGGCAATGGATGCTAGACTCCCTGTTTGGGAGAATAAGACCCTCCTACAAATTTTCAAATCACATAACTGAATATCTTTGTAGTAGCAACATCCAACTGACAACAGAGCCGACAATGTGCTTCAGAATACCACATACAATGGCTTTATGCTTATTTATGACCAGCTTTCCCTCTAAAATCAGGCTTGGTAAACAACTCCAGAAAACTTTCTAAAGTTGATTTTTTAAAATAAATATTTAAAGAGGTCACTAAAGAAATCGCTTCACTGATCTTTTGAGAAATTCTGATCTTTTGCTTTATCTTTTATTTTTATTTATATTGTGATTCTTACAAACTTTTCTAATCTTTAATCTATCAAAACATCTGTACTTTGATAAATTTGACTTCCTTCAGCAATAGTTTGTGCTAAGATCTTTAAATTAAATAGCAGAGGCAAAGAAGTAAAATTAAACACAGCAACAGGTTACAATAAGTGCTCTTTAGAATTTCAGACTAACAAATTTGTTCCAAAATGATAATGTAAAGGAATAACTTACTAAATGAATAATGCAATACAGAATAGGGTTCAACAGGGTCAGAATCTCCCTCTCTTTCTCTCTCTTTCTCTCGTTCTCTCTCTCTCTCTTTCCACACACACACACACCCATAAGCACATACACTTCCACAAGAATTCATACATGCGTATACATACAACTAGGAATTTAAAACACTGCTACTGAATGTCTTAAATTTGATAAATTAACTACATAGAAATACTGCCATTGTGAAAATGTTTATGTCCCATAATCTGTACAGGATGTCTTTCTTTGTAAATTTCTTTAAAAAGAAAAAAGCTAAAAAAAGCAAGGCTGAGAAACATGAATCCTTAACAAGAGGCTGGGTGATTGTGCCATACTGCACAGCATCACAGCTTCCCGTTCTCCTCGCCACCGTCCTTCTCCTCGATGGCTTCCAGGCTACGCTTGTTCTTGGTCTCAGTCCCACTACTGGGGCCTTTACTCAGTCCACAAGACAGGCACGCCAGCTGGATCTGCTTCATGTTTTCAATAGCTTCATTTTTGGCATTCTTCAACAGATCTCCTTGGCCCTACAAACAGGGAGAAATAAATACCAAAGAGGAACGTTATACATCATGCTTATCCCGAATTACATTGCTCTATATATTTGTGCCATTGCTGAAAGAAGAAATGGATCCAGACCTGCAAGCTCACTGTGGCCAGAGTTTAAATCAAGTATGTCTCATTGCAGTACTGACAAATAACAATTATACATGTCATAAGGTACTGTGTGACATTTCTATACATGCATTATATTTAGCAGTCATTAAATAATCTGTCCTCTTCCCTCCCTCGCCTCACCCTCTGCAGTCACTTCTATGGAATCAAACTATTTACATTCCACATATGCGTGAGATCATGTTTTCTGTGCTTGGATTATTTCACCAAGCATAATGACTTCTAATTCCATCCGTGTTTTCTGAATGACAAAACTTCATCCTTTTTTTTTTAATGGCTCTATAGTACCAAAAGAGAAATGATACCAAGTGCTGGCAAGGATGTAGCAAAAGGGGAATCCTGACGTACTGTTGCTGGAAACATAAATGAGTGCACACATTATAGAAAACAGTGTGTGTGGAAAGAGGGAGGTGGTCATCAAAACAGAAAACTAAAACAACAACTATATTATCTAGCGGTCCCACTACTGGTTATACATTCAAGAGAAATTAAAGTAGCGTGTCAGAGTCATCTGCACTGCCTCTTCTTTAACACTTCAAAATAACCTAAGAATCCAAACAACTTATGTGTCTAGCAAATGATGAATAGATAAAGAAAATGAGTGACTCTGCTCTTCAAGTCAAGGACTTTAACCTGAGTTTGCCAGCCAGTTCTGGGGTTGCTGGCTGCCACTTGAAAAACTTGTAATGAGAAACACTCTTCTTTCCCTTTTTCTAAGATTTATGTTAATTACTTGCAAAGCAGAATGACAGAGAGGGAGACATAGGCAGAAAGAGCTCTTCATTCCACAGGTTCACCAGTCAAGTGGCCCCCAAAGCTGGGACTGGAACACACCAAAATCAGAAACCAGGCCCTCCATCTGGGACTTCTACATAAGTGTAAGGGCCACCTTCTGTTGCTTTTCCAGGCATATTTGCAGGGAGCTCAAGGGAAAGTGTGGCAGCCAGGATTCAAACACTGCTCTGAGACAAGAAGTCAGTGCCACAATCAAAGAGTTAACCCACTGTACCACGATGTCAATTCCTGAAAGAACCCAACCCATAACCATGGCCTGAGACAGGAAGAGAGTGCCACAAACACAGTTAACCTGCTGTACCACAAAACCAATTTCTGAGAGAGCAGTCAACCCATTACCATGCTCTAAGACTCTGCAGCCTGCTGCCATTCCTACCCAATCCAGCTGTAGTATTCCTAGACTTGGATAAAAACAAGGAAAGATTTGCCTTAAAAATTGACAAGGAAGTCATCTCCTCTATATAGAAGAGCTTACAGCTCAAATCATGTTCTATAAAATAAATAACACATTCTCATGCTGGTTTGTAATATATTGGATAATCCTTGAAATCTGCCCTTGCCATCCTCATTCCTCCTGCATATTTCATCACCCTGCAGACAATGTTCCCCATCTGGCTAATGCAGGAAACACATCTCCAGAGGCTCACCATATCAATAAAAATAAGAAAGGCAAATGAACAACATGGGAACACATTAGCTGGTAGTTTACATAAGTGCCTTAGAAAAAATTTTCACTATTTTGTTTCTTGTCTGAGCTCATATGAGCTTATTACAATGACCAAGTGTATACAATAATACTGGCCCAGGGTCTGAACGAGGAATAAGGCATAGACAAAAGACAAAGCTTCCCTTCTCTCTCTGCTCTGCATTCTCATGGCAGCACCTAAGAATGTGACTGAAACAGCGACCAACGAGATGGGCAAGTAAGGAAAGGAGTCACGCTGATTGATGGCACACTTCCACATAGCAGAGGCTCGGAGGAAGAGTATGACAACTGCCTCGTGCACAGTTATCCATGTGCACCACTCCATCTCTAACTTAATACAGTATTGTTTATTAGGCTGTATGAGAAAACAAGCATTTAAAACACCTCAGAATTTCTCACATTCTTGGTAGTTACATCCTATGTAATGACAGGTTCAGTTCTTCTAATACACCTTTATGTGGGGTGAACAGTGGATTTTGTTAATGTTTGTGTTTGGATGGACTTACCCTTAAGTACCTCACTCATGGAATAAGTGTAACTTTCTCTTGAGAAGAAACAAAGCTAAGTCAGCCTGATGAAGTTAAACAAGTTAAACAAGGTGACAGCCTGTTAATAACTAAAGTTCAGGTCTTTGGCCTCCTGGTGCAGTGCTCTATTCCACATGTCATGTTTACAAATGAGTCTAAGTGTAGAAATAGGATACCAAAGATTATCAGCGAGAAAGTGTGTTCTAAGGAAAAAATATTCACCACATCAGCAGAGACGGGACAGTAACAGTAAAGACATAATGAACAAACCTACCCATAACATGGAAAAATGAAGTCATGCCCAGTCTGAAAACTACAATTCCCCAATAATAATGCAATGTTAACATGCTTAGTCTGTGTGATTATTTCTCTTTGTTCATTCAGTCACCATGACATCATTGGGAAAGTCGCCCTACTGTGCAAGAAGGGGGGCAGGAGTCATCAAAATACAAAAAAAAAAAAAAAAAAAAGTAATTCTTGATCTCAATTTACTGATGCGAAAACACCATCTTTCTCCAAAGCCATGCAGTTGTCAGGTGGTAAAGCTGCAGGTTTAACTCTAGCAAGGGTTCCTTAACTACCAAATTACATGGCACCTCACAAAGGCAAATTGTGCCTCTCCCCAAAGCACATTAAATCCTCCTCTTCATTGTTACCAACAACAGCAGCATGAATAAGAAGGTTATTGTCCATGTGGCACAGCCTGACAGAACAAAGAGATGGGTTCTAGAGTCAGGAAGAGAGGGTACAGCAAGGAAACCTGGCGAGAACAAAAGTTACCACGTCTTCCATCAACTTCTTTCTGGGCTATTTACTCTTGTGAGAAAAAAAAAAAAGAGAATGAAAATGTAATGGTCTCCCTCAGAGTTCTAAGATTTAAAATGTTGAGAAAATATGTTGAGAAGCTATTTTAAGCAAATGATAGGATATGATCTGCAGAGCAGTTAACATTGTCTATTACTATAATAAACATCTTCATACTGTGTGTACTTAAAATAAATGTGACTAACTTGCTTAAAATGCATCCACAAGATTTTACAGATATGCATTTTGCTACTGTTTTCACAAATGCAGAGATTCCTTTAAAAATAAGTTGTGACAATAACGTCATACTACATTCATTTTCATAGCATTACTTTTAAGAATTTCCCATTCATTAAGCTTTCAAATGTTCACAAATCACTTTAAATACATAATAAAAGCAAAACTGACTTTTTTCCCTTACTGGAAGATAACAATGAAACATATAATAACTTTGATGCTATTTATTCATAATGTTCTTAAGTCCCCCTTTCACACAACAGGTTATGAGGCATATTTTAATCTGCTGGGATCTCATCCCATGGGTTCTGAGAGGTGGCATCCAAACTTCGATGCCAGACTGTGCCAGTTCTGGCAAATAGAAGCCAGATTCTCTAGAAAACAATGGCCAGTTGGAGAAAACACTTTGTACCAGTGCACAAGAACATGACTACATCATCCCCGATAACCCAGGAGACAACACATGCTGGCTACACAATACAGGGAGGAAAACAACAGAAACTCAAGTATTAATAAAAGGAAGCAACGTGAATGACGAAGCTTGTTTTCTGTATGTGTGGGGATTTTTTGTTTGCTTTGGGGTTTGGGGGGCTTTGGTTCTGGTTGGTTTTTTTTTTTAATTTTTTGTTTTTATTTTTTAAGAAGGAGTTGTAGAGATCATCTTTCTGTTGTGATGTGACTCAAAAAATCATATACTGTCTCTCTTGGAGTCCTGCCAATAAAGGTACCAGAACCAGAAAATATTCACTCAAGGCAAATTCTAGAAAGAACAAAGTTAACTATCAATCACCCCCTTTCTGTCATTCCTTACAATGCTAAGTTTTCTCCCATTTTAAATGCACCAATTTCATCTTACCATCCAGTTCAAGCTCTCCTCCTCTCTCCCTTTCTCCTCTATCAAATCTTCCTTAACCCCTCCCTAATTATGCAGCTAATACCAGATCTTATCCCTTCAAAGGTCACTGCCCTGTGCATCATCCCCTCCAAGATGAATTGGGTATTCAGATCAAGCTACCTAAAGGTATCAGTAACTACACCATATTCATTTAGGAGTATTTTAGCAAAGTATTCTAATGGAAATGCTTTAGATTTATTCTCAAAACAGCAGCCTTAGATGAGGATGGAGAGAAAAAAAACCCAGGGGAATTCATTTTATTAGGGCATCCCAAGTCAAACATCTCTTGCATATTAGAATAAACCTGGAACTGTTATGGAATGGAATGCAAAATTAATGGACAGTCTGGCCACTGAACACTCAAGTTGAAAGAAAGATTAAAGCTGCTGCTACAGTTCTATCTATAATAACAACTGCAAGAATTTACAGTTTTCTACTTTGATATTGGGAATGTTTCAGGAAAGTATAAATGAGAAGGAATGTTTTTTAAACATTTTGATGTACTTCTATTTATTTGAAAAGTGGACAAATGGAGACATTGAGGTTTCCTCTATTCGCCAGTTTACTCTCCAAATGTTGCAATAGCCAGGGCTTGGCCAGGAAAAAGCCAGGAGTCAAGGACTCCACCTGGTTTTCCCATCTAAGTGGTGAGGGCCCCAAGTACTTGCGCCATCATCTAACTCCTCCCATGGTACTGGACGATGGCTCCCAGTAACTGGAAGATAGCTCCAAATGTCTGCCCTGAGAAGGGCTGCTTCAGCTCAAAAAAGAGTAAGCCTAACAAGACAGCCTTTCAGGCACGCTGATGTTGATGCAACAAACGGACTGACCCAGTGCCAAGAGCAATGTCAACACTCAGCCTCCATGGTTATGTGACTTCTAAATGTG